AACATGGAGCGGCTGCTCACGCTCTCAAGGGCCCGCCCGGAGACTGACCGAATGCCTGAAGCCATAATTCACTTTGCTGTTAGATCGTTGACATGCTTTGTATCTGCCGAGCGACCATCTACTGTGGTAGAGTTTTCGAGGTGTTTGCCAAGTAATGTTTTCAAGGACCTCAGATCTATAATAAATTCTTCGTAGCCCATGCGGTCTCCACAGAGCGGGCCGTATGCAGCCCACTCATGCCGCTCTACGGCGGGGCGCCTCTTGCGGTACCAAGATGTGGACATATCACACTCATCATACTTCAAGTAAGGGAGAAACAGCTGAATATGTCAATTTGAGCCGTCAGGAAAGTTGCTTAGTCAATGAACCGATTTAATGTCATTTCTTTATCATCGTTCATACCTTACATATACAGAGTCTCAATTATCCCATGATGCCATGTAAGTCATCCCTTTTCATTCCCATGAACCCAGAAACCACACAAATAGACAAGTCTCCACAAGGAGTCTCACAACTTAGAAAGAAAATGAAAACAGGTTGCTCAAGGAGATGCACAGATCTAGAATCCCACAAAACACAAAGACCAAAACAATCACAAAGATCACCACAGTGGTCAAATGACACAGCACACATTTCTCCATAACTCCATCAGCCCCCCAGACTCCACACCCATGATGCACTCACTCTATGCTCATCACATTACGATCCCCTCCTCCTGCAGCTTCGCAATGTCCGCCCCAGACGCCTTGACCGCCTTCAGGAACGCCTCGGACATCTTGCGCTGCTTCTCCGCGGCCTCCTTTTCGCGCCGCGCCTTGGTCTTGCTCGACCCGGACGGCGCCACTCCCGTCATCAGGATGTTGTGATCGCTGGGCGTGAAGTTGACGAACCCAATGTCCAGCCCGCCGCTGCCGCTGCCGCTGCCCTGCGGGTTGGGCGTCCGCGGCTCTGCGAACCCGCCTCCGCCGGCGTGCGGCGTGTAGTTGCGCCCTCGTGTCATGGACGCCGCCGACTTGCGCTTGCGTACCGCTGCGCCGGTCGCGGATGGCTGTCCGAACGAGGGTGCCACGGGCTGCAGCGACGAGGAGCGCTTCATGCGTCCTGCACCCGCGCCTGGTGTTGGCGACGTTGAAGAGGAGGAGGACTGTGAAGTGTGCCGCTTCCGCGGACTCGTCAGAGCAAGGCCGTGCCGAGCGCCGGTGCTTGGCGCCCGTGGTTTGGGACGGCGGTGCTCCGTGTGGTACCCGCGGGTGGGACTGGGCATGGGTGGCGCATGGTCGGCCGGCGGTGGCGGCGGAGGCACTGTGACGTCTCTTGCCAGCAATGGCGCCGCGTTGGGTGTGCGCGGCTGTGG